CCAACAAAAACGAAAACAACTTAAAACTAAGGCTAGACAACACCCTTCCCTCATATGGCAAAACACCAAGAGCAACACGCTCCTGGACACACCTCTAGAAATTGCCAAAACACGCCTAACTGGAACCACACCCCAAAAACACGATCCACGCCTAGATAGTCGGTCCCGGCCCTAAATGGCCACCTAACCCCTTCACACTAATAGAAAAGAAACAAAGGCATGCATGAAAGATAAATGCACATAATATCGCATAAGGAAAGTTTGAAAATTTTCTTCTCCATTAATCAATGCAATCTGATCTCTTTCTTCTTATGTTTCTATCTCTTTTGATGCATCTTTCTGCAAGCCCTATACAAGCCTATTTATGTGGTGGCTGAGCTAAGAGACACAAGAGTATGAGGGACATGTGTATCAACTATGTTCAGTAGGTTGGCCTTAGGGTTTTGTAGGGTGAATGTGCTAATTTATCTCTTTCTTTCCACGTCAACATGTTTTCTTTCCCTGTCACCGATGATGTGGCTTTGGTCAAGAGCTCTTCTAATAGCCCCCTTCAATTCTATGCTCGATCTTGCAGTGATTGTCAACCCGTTTCTTAGCCAAGCATAGAATTGCTTGGAAAGAGCTTTGGTGAATATGTCTGCCACTTGTTCTGTGGTAGGAATGTGCTTAATGCTCACAACTCCAGTGTCTGCCTTCTCCCTTATGAAGTGCAAGTCTAGCTCTAAGTGCTTTGTCCTTGAATGATTCACTGGAATCCCAGCTAGACACACAACTCCTCTATTATCCACTCATATGGTGCTAGGCCTTGGAAATTTTACCTTCAGTTCTTCCAACAAGGAGTGTATCCACATGCTCTCACATGTAACCTGAGTTGTACTTCTGTATACTGCCTCTGTGGTGGACCTTGAAACTAGAGATTACTTATTTGAAGACCAGAAGATCAAATTTTCTCCTAAGTAAACACACATACCACTAGTAGACCTCCTATCATCCACATCTGATCCCCAATCTGCATCAGAGAACCCTTTGATTTGGAAATTTCTGCCTCTATTCAACTTCAAACCATAATCTTTTGTTCCTGCTAGTTATCTTAAGATCCTCTTTACTGCTTTCCAATGTTTATCGAGGTGAGTGCATGAACTGACACACCTTATTCACAATGAAGGCAACATCAGGCCTTGTGAGTGTAACTTACTGTAATGCCCCAACTATTTGTCTATAAAGTTGCCCATGTTGCACAGGTTGTCCATCAGTTTTTGATAGAGGTGGATAACTTACCATAGATGTGCTTATGTCTTTTGCCCCCTTCATGCCATCTCTATCAAGAAGGTCATATATGTATTTAGATTGGTCCAAAAACAGACCGGCGGGAGTGTATGCAACTTGGATGCCCAAAAAGAAATGGAGAGGCCCAAAAAGAAGGTCACCTAATGAAGGTTGCGTAATGATGTGAAAATGAGTTAACAAAATTACTATAGATACTCTAATAGGTGTTTCTATTTTTCAATAATTTTTCATATTTATAATAAAACTAAAGTATAATAAAAAAATTAAACATATCAGTAAAGTTGTTATTAGGCAGACCTAAAGACTAAACATTCAACATTTCCAAAACACAAATATGATATTTTATTGGATTTGTATATATTTTTATTAAATAAAATATGATGGATCAATCCGCCTAATGGTTATTCAGTCTCATACAAGAATTTATATGAACTAATATCTCAACTTAATAAGTATTTGGTTAATAAATTTTGTGATAAATTATCATGAATGAAATTACATCTACCTAAAATATCAGATGATATACAAATACAACTTGAATAGGAAGAAAATTACTAACAAATATTAGACGAAAAATTGACCAATTTTATGTGTGTACATATGTGTGTAAATATATTTAATTTGACCAAGTTTATAATAATATGGTTGATCTACATCAAGCATTGGAGAGGATTTTAAGGTTTTGTATTTATGAACATAAAATTATACATCTTATATGGTTCACTACACATTAATTGATTCATATTTTACACAAGTTATTCAATCGCAATTTTTTGAGAATTAAATGTGACCTGAAAACCAAAATTATCGCTCATTATACATAATATGAAACTTTTAATTTAAATCAATTTATATCTGAAGTGAAAAATAAAATATAATTTACCAAAAAAAAGTTAGTGTTTTTAAATTATTTCTTAAGATTATTGAAATTCAAATGAGATTGTGTACCATATATTTGTGGTTCATGAAAAATAAAATAGTTGTTGAATNTACTTGAACTTTAATAGTGGAGCCAACCTTCTATATACAACAAGTAAATTATACCATATTTTCTGATTACTTAAATAAAACAAATAATTTTATTAATGTAAAGTTTACTTGTTGTATATAGAAGGTTGGCTCCACTGTAGAGTCAACTGTTGGCTTCATAGCAAAACTGTATAACGATACCATATTCTCTGATTACTTAAATAAAACTAATAATTTTATTAATATGGTATGGTTTACTTATTGTATATAGAAGGTTGACTCCATTATGGAGTCAACTGTTGGCTTCATAAGAGAACTGTATATTTATAACTCATGAAAATAACTATAATTAATTAGATCAAGTGAAAAATGCATATGAAAACTATGTCACTGAAAAATGGAAGATAATGTTAATAATATTTAAAAAAATTGCTAACATATATCAGTTGAATTATAACTTATTATTTAGTCAAGAAAAAAAGAAAAATGTTACAAATACATAATAAATGTACATAGAGGTGTACATAACACCACATGGAGTGGGGTCCACTTGATTTTTTTTTTGTAGGACCCACTCAATGTGAATGTTATGTACACCTCTATGTAGTATTATGTACCTGTAGTATTTCTCATAAAAAATGACAAAGAATGATCTTTTTCAACAAGATAAGATAAGAAGACAAAATTGTAAACTATCACATTCACATGCAATTATTCTTGTAAAAGATTTCAATTTAGTTTTACTGTGCATATTTTTCGGTCTTCTCCAAACAAAAAGATTTCGAATAAACAAGACTAACTTAAATAATGAAGGTTTGTCAACCAAAATTTTCATGCAATCTTTTTCACCATGACTTTTAAATATTATTATTTTAAAAATTGTATTTCAACTTTCAATATATTTGTCACAATTCAATATGTAATGTACTACTTTTGTTCGGTTAAGAGAAAACAATAATGCCAAAATTAAATAGACTATAAAATATAAAAGAAAATATAATTTAAAATCACATTAAAGTATAAATTATAGTATATGAAAGAAAAGGCAAAATGCATGCCTCATATGCGCCAGAGCCATATCAATAAATTATACTGTTAATCCATTCCTTTACATCCCTTGGCACGAAACCTAGATAAATGCACAAAAAGCCTAAAATAATCTCATGGTGCATGAAATACAGGCAAAAGGGTGTGCATAATATAAAGACCTCAAATTCTTAGAGCAATTAATCACATCTGCTACAGCATTTACCTCCAAAA